AAGCGTGTATTCTTCTTATCACAGACTATATAGTTAGGTAACAAAATGATCTCCCCCGCAACCACCTAGTTTCTTGAACATAGTAACTTCACATCTTGGATCCTGGTCAATTGTGCTATTAAATATTAAGCACCAGCCCGGCCGGGCGTGGCTCAGCCGTTGAGCATCGACCTAGGATCCAGGAGATCAAGGTTCGATTCCCTGTCAGGGCACATGCCCGGGTTGCGGGCTCGATCCCAATGACTCATCATTGGTGTTTCTATCTCTCCCTCTGCTGCCCTCTCTCTGAAATCAATAAAGATAAATAAATAAATAAATATTAAACACCAAAACTTTGGCAGTTTCTGCAAAAAAAACAATTCAGTTAGAATTCATTGTTGACTATTTTGAAGGTCAGGGTATCTGATGTGTTTTTGTACTGTCTTTATTATTTTACTTTGGCAAAATTCATTAAATATCAGCCAAAAATTTAATATGACAGGAGGGAAAAATTTGCCCAGCCATTGGTTCCAATATTTCCAAACACTGTACTAGTAGTAGATCAATGCCTAACAACTTGATATTTTGAACATTTAAAGCAAAAATAATTCTTATTAATAAGCACATTAATCAAGTATATGCTTTTTAAAAGTACAATAAAAGTAACTAATAAAAGTTATGCATAGATTCCTTTAAGTGAAATCAAGGATACTCTTGTAACCTGAATTCCTCAGTTAAAGGGAGTTGAAATGGATAGAGTCTATACTCCATGGCATCAGGAGCAGCTGTGGACTGAAGTGCCCTATTGCATATTAACTTGCACATCAGTAACTTACAGGGAAGGTAGATTAAATATTTTTCCCTAAGACTTAACCTAGCAATTTCATTAATTTTGAAATTTCTTTTAAATTCAGGACCCTTAGGTGACAAATTTGGGTCAGGACAGTCCATTTCAAGGTCTGCTGTTTATAAAGGTGACTTGGCAGCTGCTACTTTGTGTAGAGAGCAGCTGAGTGTGAACAGTCAATATTGCCCTACATGTCCTTCCTGATCTGCCCCATCAGAGGACTGCACTACCTTATCGCTTATATTTTTGCCCCTATTTCTCCTTTTCTCCACAAATTTTGTATCTTTTACAGCTCTGAATATTCTTTAGTCCAGGTTACTTAGCTTTTCCAGACAATCCTTCCATTTTTACTTTTTATGGAGAAATTTTTTTTTCTCCCATCGTCATTTATCCCCCGATACACTCCACCTCCCCGCACCCGCCTCCCCATGAAGGAATTTTTTATAACCTTTCCTACTTAACACTTTCCTGTTTTCCTTCAGGTATGAATCCTGCTTTCCCTGACTGTATCTTACCCCAACGTGTATAGCTGAGGTATCCCTCATTACTCCCTAACTTTACCCAAGATTTCCTCATCTGTTTTTACTCTTCGAACAGCTGTGTAAAATGTCTATAATCTGCTTAAATCTATATGCTTTTTTGTGGTGCTGTCAATCCCCAGTTACCTGCCTTCCAGATAATTCATTCAGTGTCCTGTTCCTCCATTCCTCTAATTTTTGAGCTTTGTGAGCCACCTTTCTCCCATCCTTTTACATACACACTTTTTACTCTTTTTAGGTACTGTCAGTGCTAGTGTCCAACTCTTGGACTTGGCTTAAGAGATTCTTTCTCTTTTAAAAAACAAACAAACAAAAAAACTCCATATTTTGGCCAATTGTGGGCTGGGGAGGAATCAACAGCCTTGTTCCCCTGCCATGTTACCATACTTCTTGTTTCTAGGGGTTGTCCGCCTGTTCAGCTCACACTGAAAGCCTTTTTCCGATCAGGCGTTTCCTGCCTCCAGCCATTACCCTTGGTACTTGGCAGTGTGCTCCCTCGCTTTCTGCCTCAAATCTAGCAGCTCCCAGTGCAGTCTTCACGGTGCCCCACCTATGTAACTAGAGTGCAGAGAAAGTGGGGATTTTCCTTTGAACCCATTTGGGATGGTTATAGGACAGCTGTTAAGGTACCCAAGTGGTGCCTTTGTTCCAGCCTCTGGCAATTGGAAGTGCTAACGAGCACTGAAGAGTGTGTTTCCCTGTTGTCTACCCCCATGTTCCCCGTTGTGCAGTTTCCTCCAGCTGCAGGGAGTAAGGAAAGAGGCAGCAGGTAGGAAGCCTTGTTTGCATCCTGATTTTCTTAGCTCCACTCTGTCCCTTGAATATTCCAGATACCTGCCTCTTTCAGGAAGCTGGATATATCCAGTACTGTCTCCTGCCCTCGCCATCCCCATTAACTCATTTTCCGGTATGTGTTTTTACATTTATGGTAATTTTTCAGTCTGGAGCCTGTCATCGGCTACCACATCTGCTTTTCTCCACCTTTCCATTAGATCGTAAGCTCGTTACGGGCAAGGTCAACATGCAAGCCAAGCTCCGTAGACCCCCGTGAAGGTGCCCTGAGCTCTATGGGCACTCAATAAAGGTTCGTGATGATGATGCAGCTTCTCAGATGAACTGATTATAGTGACTATTTCTAAAAAGTCTTCCTTGGATTTAGAATTTTTTAATTTGCCCTGTTGGTTTAGAATATCCTACAGAGAGGGACGCTTCATCCCTTGCCAAATGAATGCTCATTTCTTTATTTCCTTTTCATTTTTGCTGTCCTGACACCCATAAGATATTAAAATGGGTCCTCGTGTGTTTTTCAAATATCACTTTTATATACTATGAAGCAGAGGTAACCTAATACTATTGATGTCATTAATTTTTGAAATGTCATTTATTGAAATAACTGCATCAGAATAGTAGATATTTTTACAAAGAAAACTTCCAAACCTTAAAGGTAAGTGATTGCTATTTTAGCCTGTCTGTAGTATGAAATTATCAGAATGCTTTTTTTTTGTTATTAATGTTGCAGTCAGTGTTCATTAACGTACATAATGGCATAAGCTCTCTGCCTAAATAGCAGTTGCACAAATTTTAGTGCTAGAAATAAATAATTTTTAGTGCTAGAGCAAGCGCAGGAACCCTCGGCTTTATCTGCTCCCGGTCTGAGCAGTTCCGAGAGTCACCAAGGCCTTTGCTCACTCTGCTGCTACTGTTGCTGAGATGTTGGGTACAAATTCATGCAGTGGGCACCGACAGGCTGGCAGGCTTCAAATCCCGGCTCTGCCGCTTACCTGCGGTGGGGCCTTAGAAAGTTCTCTCTCTCTGCTTCTGTCTCTTCATCTGGAAAATGATCTGCCTCAGTGGGTTATCTTATGGCTTAAATGAGTTAATTTATGTAAAGCACTTAGACTAATCCTAGGTAAATAACAAGCACTCACAGCAGCTAAGGGAAATTCCCTTTTACTTTTGCTGCAAATGAAGGCAGAAGCTTTATCCATTTCACATCACATTTGACAAATGCCTGAGAACCCAAACTGGGTGAGGCAGGAAATCTGGAGCTAGGGATGGGAAGCCAGGTAAAATGTAGCCCTTGCTGTCCATGTCGTTTACTGGAAGGGACAGTCACAAGTGGGTAAGTAAAAAGCAGTAAGCACAACCATAAATGTAGGTGATGCCTTTGGTAGAACCCAGTGTTTGGTCAGCATTTGATGGAGCATGCAAATGGACAGTTAAATTAAAAGTCATATAAATTTTCTAAATTGGATATCATAAGTGGCAGTTCTCCCAAGTTGACATTTTAATAAAATACATAAACAGGACTATTTATGAAAATTCTTAAGAGTACTAGCTCTGCCATATTTTAAAATATAAATTCTTAAAACAGTGCATAGTAGGCTCATCAATAATAGTTCACTGGAGTCAAAGTTTTTTTGAAAATCCAGAAGTAGCCCGGCCAGGCGTGGCTCAGCGGTTAAGCATCGACCTAGGATCCAGGCGATCAGGGTTCGATTCCCGGTCAGGGCACATGCCCGGGTTGTGGGCTGCAGCCGATCAATGACTCTCTCATCATTGATGTTTCTAGCTCTCTCTCTCTCCCTCTCCTTTCCTCTCTCTGAAATCAATAAAGATATATTAAAAAAAAAAAAAAGAAAATCCAGAAGTAAACAAATATAGGACATAAGTATGTTTTAAAAGCAGTACCTCAAATAACTAGGGAAAGATTAATTCAATAAAAAGTAATGGAAAAAAGTGTAGCCATCCAGAAAGACAGCTGGCTTCATACTTCACACCTCATGACAGGAAAAATCCAAATGAATAAAAGTAAATTCCAAAAAACCACAAAAACTATAAAAATACTAGTGGAAAACCAGGAGGAACCATAACTAACGTGAGGAACATCTTTCTGGGCACCATACAAAAACTCAGACGCACATAAACAATACATGGATTAATTTACTTACCTAAGAAGTAAAAATGATCTGTGCAGGAAAATATAAGAAAGAAAACTTTAAAAGAAAAGCAACAGAAAAATATTTCTAGTCATCCCAGAGAGAGGAGCAAATTTTCTAACAAATGAAAAGTTCCTACGAATCCATTTTTGTGGGCTCAGCGGGGAAATGGATGAAACAGATGAACAGACAGGTTAAGAAAATATAAATGGCTCTGTTGTGAATTGAACTGTGTCCTAAAAAGTCGCGCGCTGAGGTCCTCCCTCAGTGCCTCAGAGCGTGACCCTGCTTGGAGGCAGGGTCTCTGAAGAGGCGAGCAAATCCGAGCAGCGCCGCTAGGGGGCGCCCGACCCCACACTAGTCCTTAGAGCCGGTGGCTCCGACGCCCCGCAGCGCCGCGTGCACCTGACGGCGGCGGGGGCTCCAACGGGAGGCGCCCAGGGAGGCCAGCANCCAGCCCCAGACAAACAGCCACCACTCGGGACCCTCGTTACAACGAACTAATACAGGCCCTTAGACGTGACAATATACTCGCCTCCCCCGTCATAGGTGAGATTAAAATTAACACTGCAAAAAAAAAAAAAAAAAAAAA